GGGCGCATGTTCTAGAATGACGAAACTGTCGAACATTAGACTCACAGGTGGTCCGAGTATGGAGAGAAGCTTCCAGAGGCTTGAACAGCAGAGCACCGTATGGCGGGTTGACACGTTGCTAGCATGAACAGGCAGTCAGTCCATGGGCTCCCGATTGGATAGGTGGTATTCTCGTCCTGTAACAGGCGGGCACGCTGATTGAAACTGTCGGCTTTCATGACGAGCAGCAATGCGGATGACGGGAGATCTTCCGCGACTGGAGCCGCGGAAGGGATGATTGGACCGGACAGACACAATGGCGGACCGAGGGGATATTTTCCGAGTTATAGGCTCTTCCCGGCTATATCAACACTTGTTGATTTGTTCAAACCGCGTCGGGGCCGTGATGAAACGGGTTGAACCGACATGACCGAACCCGCGGACGGGCGAGCCGACGCGGCAGTTAAGGGGTGGTGTAGCATGGAGGCCGGCTGAAAATGCAAAGTGCTGCGAGGGGCCGCATGGGGACGAAGTCGGTCATGCCATGCCTCAGAGAGGAATCCGGAGGCGTTGAGAGCCATGTGGAAAGTGTGAACGAGCGTTGTCCATTGAGGTGGTGTGCAAAGAGCAGCCAGTGCAACGAATTTGTGCGGATATGCCGGCCTCGAATACGTACCTCCAGCATAAGGTAGGTAGGCAAGATGCGTGTCGCGAGACAGGATTGGCTGGTGTGCGTTGACAGGCAAGCCTTCTGGCCATGAAGCCGTCTAGACTGAGATTGGGGGTGTTCCTACTGACAGGCAAGGGCTGCCATCCACTCAATCCATCCCTCCATGACCAAAGTGCTGGCTTCAGCTGCCTGGAGACGAGAGGGCGTCCTTGGCCGGAAGGGAATGCGTACTCGTGATTGAATCAAAGACCCCAACATGGGATACGAGCGGGACAGGAAGAGATGAGATTCAGGTCCGAGGCGTCCGAAAGTCAAGCAAGGTCGAGAATGCGACGTGGAAACAACGCTTGCTTGTGATGTTTTGGGTCGGCCCGCCGTGTTCCAGTCCAGTATGGCAAGGGCGCGGGTGCAGCATCGACCTCCATGTGGCTCGACAAGAGCGATCGAGGGAATGCGGCTGGCCAAGATTCCAGGTTGAAGTGGAATGTGGTGACGAGGCGATGAAACCACACGCGGCCTTCTGCCGTTGTGATGAGATGACGGAAGGAAAAAAACTTCACTTTGGGGGATCGTGCAAGGCGTAACCCCCTATCCTATCCTTCCCCCTTTTTACAAGAGCACCCACCATTGATTGCACTTGCCTATGAACAGATGCCTGCTTGCATTGTACTTGCACTTTGACTCAGTAAACAGTCAGCCAGCCAGCAGAGAGGTCTGGACCAGAGCAGGTCCCCACCGAATTAATTCATGGGGTGGCCTCCGCTGTTGATCGCCACCCCCCCCCCCACCCTTCTCCTTCGTAACTATTCCCTATTCCCTAGTATTCTCCCCTTCACTCTCCACTGTCGGGCCCGGGCTTGCCTGGGCTGGCGGCCACCCTCCAGGCTGCCTACAAGGCACATGGTGGCCCCAACATCGGCATCGCCCCCCGTGCCCCCACCTGGCACCGGCCGCACCTATCTTTTAGCTGCAACCTTAACTATTCGTAGTACATGTAGCGCCATCGTTCGGTCCATCTCTTGAGGTGTGGAGGCTGCCAGGTGTGTCCTCTGCCTTAGCAGGGGCCGCTACGCGTTCCTCACCCACAGGGGCGAGCCTTGCTCTCAAGCCCCCCCAGAAACCACTAAAACATGGCACCATCGATCGCCACCTAGCCGGCCCCTGACACCTTGTCCGCTTTTGATTTTTTTTCCCTCTCGTCTCCCTTGTGATGTGTGACGCATCCAATGTTTTTTCTTGCTCGTTGATACTTTCGGCTATGGTGTTTTGTGCGAGGGAGTCATCGTCAAAGACCCGTCTGGAACCTCAGCCGGTGGAGTAGTCGAACACACCGCACCGCACCTTCCCTAAGCCTTCTCTTCTGTTTTGGTGAGGGCCGAGAACGAGGACAAAGTTTGATGAATAATGGGAATGGGGGTCAATTGAAGCTGTGCGCAATCGGGCGACCGGTCCAGACAGGTCTGCCCGCCAAGATGGATGTTGCTGGTTGAAAGGAAATGTCTGGAATTTGCCTTTCTGGTTGCGTTTCACTGTCTCATTGGTTTCAATCGCGCGTGGTTGTTGTCTTCAGTAGATTATTCTTTTTTTCCCTTTTTCTCTGGCTCGCGCCCGCTGCATGG